TTTTTTTTATATAATTTTTTTATTTTTACCTTTACTTTTTTTACACCCCCAAATGGGTAGAAACCCAAATGAATATGCATGTAGCAGTTCAGCTGTCATAGGCAACACCATTTATTTATTTTTGTGTTTTTGCTTTGCCCCAAAATTCTCAGACAGACAGCATGCGCGCTGAAAACCCTCAGCTTTGTTACAAAAAAAAACAAAAAGAAAAAACAATTTTTCGAACTGATGCCAGTTTCAATTTAAATTATACGAAATCGTGTGTTTTTCCTTTTATTTGTTCTCCACATATTTTTCTTATGCCTCCCACGTCTGAGTTCTCGCATTTTCCCTTGGTACGTGTAACCTCGTAACGATTTTCAACGTTTTCGGCGACAAAGCGTTTAAAATTGCACAGACAATGGCAAATAAAGCAAATGAAATGCGACCAAAATCAAGAAAACTCAACATAACAGCAAATACAAATACAAGAAGCTGGCAAAGTTGTGGCGTTAAACGCAAAGGAAGGAAGAAATTTATAAAATAAAAATCGGGGGAGAAGTAAAACATTCGCGAATTTCGCGTAAAATAAAAAGAGCGCCATGAGACGGAGAGCGGAGAACAGAGATCCGTATTTGGTGTAAACGCCGTTCGATTACAATCAATACAGCGCTTGATTGCGTAAATGTTGGTGATATTGGCGGCAGTAGATACCCAATATATGTATACGAAAATATGCAACCTGCCTTTATGTGTGTATTTGCGTGTGTGCGGCATATGCAAATTTCTTTGTGTGAATGTGTTATATAACACATTAACGGTACGCTATGTGCTTTGCATGACCTGCCTTTTCGACTGTTGCTTGTTTAAGCCAATTTGTGGTGACGAATATGGGGGGATTTTAATGGAAATATTTTGAAATCCTATAGAACCGATAGAAACCTTTAAGGTATAAAATTTGACGGAACGAATAAGCATGAAAATTAATGAGATACAAATATTTTTTTACAGTGTTGCCACCTATTCAAAAAAAAATTTAATTAAACTTGAAAATTATAAGTTTAGGTAAAAACGTATGTATTTAAAAGGGTAAAAGACCAGAAAAAAATTTAGCAGTGTTGCCACATGTTAGTACTCTAGAAGGTTTGAGAAATTTATATTACAATAAAAAAAAATTATTGTTACAGTACTGTCATACAGTTAAATTAGTTTAACGAAGTTTTTTTTTTTAAAAGGTTGCCACCTGTTTAGAAATTTTAATTCGTGAAAATATTTCAACTACAAGAAATGTTCAAATGTGCATAACTTAAAAAGTATAGTATCTCAAAATTTTATATAAAAAATAAAAATATTTTGAAAGGGTTGCCAACTGTTTTTTTCTTATTAAATTAAATTTATTGAAATTAACTCAATTGGGAAAACATTTGTAACTACTAAAGTATGTGTATTAAACCAAACTCTTTGAAAAATATGTGGCTCCCTTTTTGAAAAGGGTGGTTTCTTTGAAATTGCTGAAATGCGGGAAAAATGGATCACCTAAAAAGTACCTCAATCTTTCAAATAAAAATTCGACATATTTAGAAAGGGTTGCCAACCGATTTTTTAAATTAAATTTATTAAAATTAAATAAATGGAGAAAAAATTCATATTTCCTCAAATGTGTGTATTAAACAAAAAATATATATTTTTCACTTTTTGAAAATTCTAATTCGTTAATATTGTTGAAAATTTTAAATAAAAAATACAAATATTTATAAAGGGTTGCCAACTGTTTTCATTAAAATTAATTAAATTGAGGAAAATTTCGTAGCTACTAAAGTATTTGTATTAAACTAAAAACGAAAATATATTTTTCATTTTCATAAAAAGGTGGCAACCTTTATTGGAATTTTAATTCGTTACAATTGTTGTAATTCGGGAAGTAATTCAATATGGATAAGTTAAAAACTATCTCAATCTTTTATTTAAAAAAATAAAAATATTTAAAAAGGGTTGCCAACTGTTTTATTATTGAAGTAATTTTTTTAAAATGAATTAAACTGAAAAAAAAACATTATTACATCTAAAGTGTTAAACAAAACACTTAAAGATAATAATATTTTGCTGGGTTGCCACCTATTTTATATTCAAAAAATTTAAAATTAAATACATTAAGATAAAATTCATAATTATTAAAGCACTTGTATTAAGCTAAACAGCTTGAAAAGAAAACTCGTCGCTTTCTGAAAAGGGTGATCACCTTATATTTATGCAAAGAAGTTTGGTTTTTTGCAAGAAGTTTCACTTCAGTATATTTCTTTTATTTTCTATAATTTCGAAACTGAATGTCTCAAAAGAGAAAAATGAGACACTGAAGACTTGTAATGAGAAAAAAGTAATGTAAGTACTGCATTATCATTTTCTCTGGAAAAGTTCTGTTTATCAATATTCCCACGACTCTGGAAGTAATGTAGTTGCCATAAAGCAATAATTCCATAATTTCTATTGATGTCTGCTTCTGCTGTTAACAATCACTTGTGGTCATTATCGAATTTCATTGCATTTTTAACACTCAAATCAAGCGACAGCATTATCCATATAATAAACACCGAAACTAAGTTAATTATTATGTCAGACAAACTTTTTATGGGTTAATCCATTAATTGCCGGCGCTCGGGGGTTTCGTTTGCCTCGTAGCTCGTATAAATGGACAAAATTGCATGCCCCTATGGAAATAAAAGCTATGCTTCTAAAAACGAGAGTTATTAAATATGAATTCAAAGAAAGTAAAAAAAATGCAGAAAGGTTAAGTGGGTGTTAAATATTGAATAGTCGAAATTGAGCATAAAACGCAGAAGAAATTTTGGCCGCTGGCAATATACACTTTAATGCGAAAAGTTTTGGTGTGGATAGAAAAAAGTATGAAATGAGTTATGATTCTAAAAAAGCATTGTTTTGTCATATTGTTAAGAGGAGGTAGACATTTATATGAGAAGCATTTGTATAGCATGCTCTTCGGAGCGGCATATAGTGAAACTATTTTGTTATTCATATTTTAAGTTTATAAAATGTGTGTTCTACTTCGTCTTCATCACCATCACCGCTCTTCTACTTTACCCATTCCATGAAGGTGTTTTCTAAAAAATACGTGTCCGGATATTACCTGAAGAAGTCGACTTCTCCAAATTTGCGACTTGTTCATAAGTTTAAATCTCTAATGGATCTGTGGCCGTCCATCTGCCGCTACGCTCTTTCTCCCATCATCGTTGTAATGCGAGTATAGTTTCTTTCTTTATTCGGTCAATTGCGCTTTTGCTATTTTTATCTGCTTTCTCTAGCTCCCACAGCTTTTTTCATGCGCTAGCAGGTCAATGATATTGCGTCACCTGCCACAGTTCGGTAAGCTACTGCAACTAAGAGGCCTGCGCTGCTCTTTGGCCAATACCTTACGCCGATTTTGCATTTTTACCAACTCTGCTCCGTATAGTACGACCCTGGGGGTTGTTGACATTAGGAGCTTTCTTTTTTCTTGCGCAGGTTGTATTATGTGGATTATTGGACTGCTAGGATAGAATGTGATCTTTGCTGCCTTTCCTGCTTCGTGCTGGATTTTTACACAAATGGCTAATCTGAGATCCAGTCTGACGCCTAAGTAATTCACAGCTTTTTGTGTCTTTATAGCATCCTTAGTCACTTGGATGCTTATTTCGAGAGCAATGTACTTGTTCATCAGCAAGAGTAGCTCTATTTTTTCTGTAGCGAGCTATAGACTATGTGAGATAAGCCATGTTTGCATCTGTATCATGATATGATGCAGCTTTTTTCGGATTGCCTCTGTGTCTCGTGTTGTGAGTACTGCTGCTATGTAGTTCGCGTAGCCAATTAAAGACGTTTCTTCCGACATTTCGAATTTTAGTATTTCGTCCTTAATGTTCTACAGGTCTGTCCCTAAAATGGCCTCTTCTGCTGCTCACTAAGTAACTTTTATTTATGGTGATCCTTGTTTAGACTTTTAGCTCCGTACCACAGCATTGAGGTAATCGGGGATTATAAAATTTGTTTCTTAGCATCGATTATGTTCATCTTGTGATCCCTACTACAGCATACCTCGCATATAAAATATTTTACTTTACAACCTATGGATTTTCTAATATGTATTTTATTAAGTATCTGACATAGCTTACCATAAACTAGGCTCTAATTATATAGTATATTGTAGTATAAGTGTCTTTTACTAAATTAAATTTCTTAAATATTATCTTAGAATTTCTATAGTATGTAATATTTTGTCCTAGGTTATTTAAACAAGTTTCGATTTTATACTAAAATTATAATTATAAATTATACGAAAAGACCAGAGTACCATAATTACTCAAGTAAGCTTCTAAGCTTCCAGTTGCATTGTGCTCTCTTGTACTTATTGTGTGGGTAAAATTTAGGATCTGAAAAAAAATAATTTTCCCTTTGCGCTTAAAACTATGCTACACAAAAATTTACTCCAGCAGTAAAAGGGAAACTAATTAGCAATTACATCATTACTTTTTAATGAAATTTTTAAATTAAACTCAAAACAATATGTGTGTTGTAAATTGCTTTAATATTTAGAAAACAAAAGCATATGCTCTATAGTATTAATATATAATAAGCAAAAGGTAAACATTAAACCAAACAGACAGAATGCTAATTAAAATATGAATACAACTAATTTACTTACTACAATGTGATGCAAATCAAAAACAAAAGAACAAAACGCTGGAAATAGCGAGTCACCTATTCACGTACATTTGCATCGACATTCGTTGTGTAAAAGTGCAGTGCAACAACAAATATAATCAAATTAAAAACAATAGCATACATATAAATGTCACTGTATATATAATAAATTTGTTTACAAATTAAAAATACTATGATTTAAATTAACTTAAAACCATAACAAAACAAAACAAAGCCAATTTCGAAACAAATGAAATTATAATGTTCCTGTGTGTTGCAGATGCGAATTTTTCGGATTTTCCATATATACAATATCTAACACGTAAGTTTTGAGTTATAGTGGCGCTTTGTCAGCGCGATAATGTTATGAATTGTGTTATAAAAATGGCGTTCTAGAAATTCGCTTTGCTAATTTGCAGTTGTTTGGTTGTATATGTGGCTTTCAGTGAGCTTAGTTTTATATAAAAGCTGCAGGAAAATCTAAAAATTGACGGCGATTATTTTTTGATATAAGCGGCAATTCCATGAGCATAATTGTAGTTGAACTCATAGTTGTTAAATTAGAAATTGAAAGAAAGACTCAACAAGTATTGTCGCTTAAAGGTATACTTCAATTTTCCTTTGGACAAGAGTACTAAAGCTTAAAAATATTATATAATTTTAGGATTCATGGTAATGGCTTGCTCGTTAATTCTATTTCTGCCATATATAAGAATCTACTCTTTAATAAAATTACATTATTTAAATACAAAAAAGTCTTAAAAAGTATACGGGTCATAAAACTATGCTTTAATATTAATAACATCACCTTAAATATATTGCCTTTATTGCTGTTGAGATAAGCTTTCTGTTCAAAATTTACTTCTGGAATTCTTCAAGTTCTACATTTGAAAATATGTTGCAATTTTAGGGTTGTTGCCGCTTCCTGATAAAGAATGTCTGATGGAATTTGATAAAGAACATATTGAAGGTTCTGCTCTTTTTCTTGCTCTTCTTTTTGTGGTTGCAGTATGTTTTATGAGCTGAAATTTCCAGTGAAATTGTGTAAAGGCATTTTTAGATTTCTAACCTTCGAAAAATATAGCATATTATTAGGGTTACTGTTTATTTTCTGTTAAACATTTCTTGGTAAAATTTTGTAGGGACTTTTCTAAGGTTCCACTCCTTGAAAAATATAGCATATTAATTGGGCTATTGCACATTTTCTGTTAGGAACTTTCTGGCAGAATTTCGTAGATGTTTATTTAGGGTATCCTATCCTCGAAAAATATTGCATAATTTTAAGGTCGCTGTTTGTTTTCTGTTAAAAATCTTTTGGTGGAATGCGGTAGAAACATATTTAAAATTTTTTACTCGCATATTATCGCATATTAATGGAATTCCTGTTTATTTTCTGTTAAGAACTTCTGGTAGAAGGCTTATTTAAGTATCCCCTCCTTGAAAAACACTGCATAATTTAAGATTGCTGTTTATTTGCTGCTACGAACTTAATTTTCAAACTTTTCGGAGACACATTTTGGGGTCTATTCTTTGAAAATGGGTATATAATTTTCCAGTTGCTGTTTATTTAGGCTCAAGAAATTTCTGGGGCAGCTATGTAGCGGTATATTTATGATTCTGCTCTGTGCAAAACGTTTTGAACTTTTAATTTAAATTACACATTGTCTCGTTTTTTATATTTCTATAACAGTAATTTCAATCCCACAACACCATTTCACTTTCACTATGTACACACCACTTCCTTCACATCTTATTTCAACACTTTAAATATACATACATGTGACTGACATGTGTGTGTGGTTGCCTGCGTGCAGCCACCATTGACGAGCACATCAATATAAATACAAAAAGCATTTTCACTCTTACTACCGTTATAAATATTTGTTCATGAAAAATTAATTTTGCATTTCACGTGCCTAAAATAAATGAAAAATCAACAACAACACCAACAGGCGCTTGCAGTAATATTATACAACAGAACTCCATTAAATATTACATGTAATTTTAATGAAATTTTTCGAATCGAAAAAAACTCGTACGAAAAAGCAAAAACAGACAGCTAAAGATAAAACAATAATAATAATAAATAAATAATTGTACATGCGTGCGTGTAAGTCAGGATATGTCAGCGCAACATGAATTTTACCAGAGGATGTTCTATAAATGCCACACGACAATGAGGTTTCAATGAAAAAAAAAAAAAAAAAAAAAAAAAAAAAAAAAAAAAAAAAAAAAAAAAAAAAAAATTATATAAAAAAAGAGATGCGAAAAAATTTTTAAATAAATACATAAATTTACATTTACATAAATTCCAAAATAGATATACGGAAATCTTATGCCGGCAACAATTTTCGCACAATAGACAAAGCCGTCAACAGTAATGTCTCATTAGAAGCATGCATTTAGGGGTCAATGTCATATCACAGACGATAGTAGAAGAAATTGAAAGGAGAGTGAACAAATTTGAAAAAATATTGCTTCTGCTTACCATAACTTGGGCTTATACTGTAATTTTGTTACACAAATTGAGCATTACTTCTTATGAAATTGAGTATTTGAGCATAATATAGTAAAAGATAAGTCAATTATGATACAAATATATACTCATTACAGAGAAAACTTGCTAAAAACATAATTTAAAATTAAGTAATAAAAAATTAAATCTTACATAACATATTGCGACACAACTTCACGTAACATAACATTGCGTAACTTCACATGATATAGCTTGAACAATACAGCTTTTAACAGTGAAATGTAGCAAATTGCAGTATTTAAAATGTCATATGTAGGAATGGATAATATAACATAAATTGGCATAGCATAAAATAACATTGTTCAAATAAAACTTATATGAACTTAACATAACCTTAAAAACTTTTGTTACTTTAACAACTTTACAAATTTAACTAACAAAAAATACCAAAAAAAAACAAAAATAATACTATGTAACATAACATAGCGTAATATAATATAGCATAGCAGATTTAACATGGCTTGACATAGTTTGAGATATATAATAAGAGCATATAACATTGCATTGCTTAAAATATCAAAACATCATATAAGTAGGCGAAAGGGTTAACATAACATAACTTGAGATAGCTTAACATAAAATTAAACGTAACAAAACATAACGTAACTTAATCTTATATAACGTAACTTAACTTTACGTAACGTAAGAAAGCACATAACATAAACTCACATAGAAATAAAATATAAAAAAATAACTAGAGTAACTTATGCGGTGAATAATATTTTCTACATATGTACATACATACATGTACCTACAGCCGTACTTATAATAAGTAATAATATATAAATACATACATAAGTAAATATGAAAATATAAAACTTACTAACTGTTAAAAATTTAGGTGTCCTTAATACCTGTATTTAAGTCATCAACATATAACAAATCACCATATAACATAATATTTCATAAAATTATTTAACATAAAGTTACGTATCATAACTTAACCAAACTTAAAAAACCTTCCGTAACCTAGCATAAAAGAACTTAACGTCACGTAACATAAAAAGCTAAACGTAACGTAACCTAAACAAGTTCACGTTACGTGACGTAACATAAAATAAACTTAACCTAACGTAACGTGGCATAAATAACGTCACGTAAAGAGTAAATGTCACGAAACATAAACACTTTACGTTACGTAACATAAAAAACTTAACGTAACGTAGCATAAAAAACTAATCATAACTTGACACAAAAAACTTAACGCAGCATAAAAACGTAAGGAAATATAACATGAAAATTTTAACGTAACGTAGCATAAAAAACTTAACGTAAGGGAAAATTCAGAAAAACTTAACTTAATATCAAAATAAAAAAAATTTTGCGTATTTTTAAACTGTAACTCGTACTGTAAAATATACATATTTTCTATATACAGCTGTACAGACGTTAATAATAAATAAAAACTTTCTAATAATACTATAAAAAGTGAATATGCACATTTACACATTTCTGCACAAACACACAAAATAATATACTCTGTTATCCTAAAAAAGTAAATTTTTCTATCTTTCGCTATATTTTTTATTGAAATTTTTGTTATACACATACATATATGTTATCCTCACTTACGTGCACCTGGCACACATGAACATGAATACAATCATACAAACAACACTTTCATTTGATTAGAGACTTAGCGGTAAAGCTTATTACGTGCTCTTTTCCAGCACTGCAGGACTCTCGCTGCCGTATTTGTGGAGCGAAATTCTGCATTTTTTCCAGCTCAAAGTTGCTCATGTGTGCGCGTTGTTGATAGGGTTTTTGTGGCATTAGAAATGGAATTGTGAATTTTTTCCATTACGCTTGTCTTTTACAGTTCGAATGTATCGATGCTGAGATATTTTCAGAATACGCTGTTCATTGCCAGGTAGCGTCGTGCTGTTCTCCATGCAAGGGGTTGGTAGAATATATAGAAGTTGCTTTTAGCTTTTTCGAAGTAGTGCCAGTGCTTCGCTCATCGTTTCTCTCATCGATCTTCTGCTTGATTTTTGTCTGCTGAATATTACTAATTTTGATTTCATTCTTTTTCTATTCCGCAGATCCACCGGAGATCATCAAGAAGCCACAAAACCAGGGTGTACGCGTGGGCGGTGTGGCAAGCTTCTACTGTGCTGCTCGTGGCGATCCACCACCATCGATTGTTTGGCGCAAGAGTTCGAAGAAATTATCTGGTAAGTAGACAAATTTTTAGTCATTTAAGAAATACTATATTATTTTAAATACTTGAAGTACTCCTACATGGCGTTGAGTTGAGCATAAAATTATTGTATTATTTTTGTGAAAAAATCTCATTTTTGGAAGAAATATTTGGAATTTGTATAAACGAGAAGTTAAAAAAATATTATTTATTCCAACAGTAACTGATAAATCAGTTACTTTACTCTTATTCGTTCAAACACTAACTAACTTACCACAAACTCCTCGCTGAAGGTGGTCTTCTAAACAATAATTTACATTAATTGTTTTTGATCTGGATTTATTTAGTAGGACTACTTTATAGGACTCCTCCGAAAACCAAATATACTCCAGAATCTCTCCTAAATAGAACACAATCCTCAAATTCAGTTTCGAAAGTAGTATTTTATTTTAGAAATAATTATATACATATAAATCTGTTGCTAAATTTCAATCAAAATTTCTATTTAAAAAGTTTTTTTTTTCAAAAAACAGGAGTTATGTTAATTTTTTAAGAAAAAAAATTTAAATAATAGTTCCAACACTCAAGTGCAATACCTATTTTTCAGGCACGCAATCCCGTTATACGGTTCTAGAACAACCCGGCGGTATATCCATACTACGCATAGAACCGGTACGTGCCGGTCGCGATGATGCACCTTACGAATGTGTAGCTGAAAACGGCGTTGGTGATGCAGTATCAGCTGATGCTACTTTAACGGTTTATGAAGGTAAGTTTAAAATGAAATTTATATCTTTAAAGCCGTGAGATGATAAATTATATGCCACATATTGAAAAGAATCAAAGAATCTCGGTGATATCTCTACTTAAACATCGGCTATCGGCATCACTTCTATCAACATTTCCTTTCTCCATTCATGTAGCGTTCTCATATATGAGTACTCATGCTAATATTGTATTTATTTCAATATATGGTTTCCGTTACTTAATGGCATACATATATGAGACAGTTAATTACATGCTTTCATTACGAACTTTCATACATATAAACTACAAATATGTGTATTGCTGCAAAGTTCTTATCAAACCCACAAATGTTTACACACACACTTGCACGTAAGTGCGCACCACCCTCGCTGGCGCGTCTTAGCACTTGATTTCGTTTATTTTACAAACTGTAAATCGTTTAAGGATAAAGTTTTTCGGGTAGTCCAAACCGAACGCCTAATCAACTTAGATCGTTACCAAAAACCAACAAGCAGCTAATAGCAACAATAACGACAACAACGACAACAACAACAACGCTGCGGAAATAAACATTCCATACTATATACACAAATATATATAGATGAACTCTTAACCCAATTCGCTTGCCTAAGCCAGGAAAACGATTTCTGCCGCCGACTACACACTCTTCAACAGTTCTGCCGCCATTGCTGCCATGCTCAAGCCCCACAAATAGCTAATCAGCCTTAACCGAAACTACAGTTTGTGTAAAACTTTTCAAGTGTGATGCTGTCAAAAGCGGATATGCGTGTTGGCATATATGTATTAGTGTGTATATGTGTAGTTGTGGAAAAGAGAAGATTTTGGTTTACTTACATACATATGCACTGCAATCTATATGTATTTGTGTCTTAAATGCTTCAGCGCTTGGGTAACGTTGTACAGTTTTCTTACGAAGCTAATATCCACACAAACACTCTGGCATACCTGTGTACATGTGTAGGTAGGTAGTTAGTAGGCTTCACGGTTTGTATAAATTGAGTGTTAATTCCTTGGGTTTCAGTTTCTAAGTAGAAAAACTTTTGTCAAGTGCATGGTATTTATTTGTTGTTTAGTTTCTTTTTCATCAACAAAAGTTCGAAACAAACAGGTAGAAGGAAAACGGTAAGAAAAAGAATTATAAATAAATTCGAATAAATTTAAGGAAGAGTTAATGGCGTAAAAAATTTAGCTAAGATATTAATGTTGACCTTCTTTAAAACTACAAAATTCAACTACTCAATTTCCTTTTGGGTAGTGGTTGAAGGCGAAAAAAATTATTGAAAATAATAAAACATGATTTTAAAATTTCGGTGTAAGATAGATCTCTCTTTCAGACTCCTAAAAAATTTCCAAATTGAATGAAATAACAAAATAACTTTAGCTTCAAGTTCCTGCTTATTTGCCACTGTAGTAAAAAAAAAAAATCATATTTAAGTCATCCAACACTGTATCTATGAAATCTGACGATTATTTATGGAGATGATTGTTAAATTTTTTTTTATATGTGATCTGGGGAAAGGGTAAGGGGTTAGGTGTCAAAAAATCAATTTCCACTTTTTAGTTTGATTCGGTTGGAAGATGAGATGCTTTTTCACGTGATAGAAAACTAGTTTTCGCACGTTAGCTTAATGGAAATCCAGGTTCCATGATGATCGCCAGCGTCAATGCCAGTGCCACATTTTGATGCACTTGTTCCTCTTCTCTGTCTTTGCCGATACTACTATTAGGCGCCTACAGCTGATGCTGAGTGGCCTACTTACTCCGCATCGGTTGATATAGCCCGGAAAGCGCTTACCGTATTACTCTCATGCACTGCAATTATTTGTTTAGCGTAACCTTGTATCCATAATGGTGCTGTATTCAGTATTACGGAATTCATTGCTTTTGCTATTGAAAATGACTGGAACGAATTCTTGACAGGGGCTATAAGCCTGCAGTACTTTTTTGTGCCACCTTTCCATCTTTTGCCACTTACTGCATATTTCGCAGTATTGACGATTTCTCGTAGTGTATCAATGGTGTATCTCATAAAGCGGTTTTGTCTTCCTGATAATACACTCATATCACTATTAGTGTATATATTAGACACTGCCCACTTAATATGCCTGTTTGAGTAGAAATTTCGTCATACGCAGTTAACACGATTTAAAATACGCGTGTTGACTGAAATAACGCTCAAAAGTCTGGCCGTCTAGAAGCTAGTAATCCTGTGGAAGAATGCTGGTTGAAGGATTAAATACAGGAAAAAACATACATGCGGGAAAATTTTAACTGAAGTTTTGGGTAAAAAAAAAGGTTTGTGCCAAAAAAGTGAAGAAGTTTTTGACGAAAAAATGGATTTATCTCGTCAGCCACCCGCTGTGTGATAAGCGACGCTGATATATTATCATGTGACTGTCTATTCCCAAAACTGATGATAGCTTTTGCTGTAGCAGGGCGAAGTCTGCAGTCCACCAGTGACAGTCGTTGCCATGAATTAGAAAACCAGTTGTCGCTATAAACAGTTCGAAGAATCTCCGCATGCGAATTGCTAGCATACTATGAGCTAGGTCAACAAAGGTATTAAAGTTGCGCTCCGAATCGAAAATTTATCTTTTTTCAGCTACATTCAATTTTCCTCAAAACACTGATGTACAGATAGAAAACTTAGAGCTCCCAGATTGACTAAGCACTTGAAGATTTGAAAGTTTAAAGACAATTAGGAAAATCAAGAAAGAAGGCCGAGATAATTATAATGAAGCGAGAGTATCTTCTGAAAGCACTACATATGCAGTGTTCTACCTGTCTTCAGCCACTCCTACTTGCCATATAATACAATGTTAAATTCCATCTGATTAACGGGATGAAACTCTGCACGAATAATGCCTTTAGAGTATGCCGCTTTATGGCCAAAAATTACGCAAATCCAACAAAAGCTATTCAAGCCTCTAGGTCTCGATATTTGAGCCCCAATACCTATAATTGACTTTTGTTCGAAAATATTGGTCAATGGGTGAGAATTATCGTTTCCTGGCTATGTGTTACAAATGGGTTGAAAGGAGCCTATACTTCTTCGAGCTCCTATATATCTAACATAAAGATGTTCGAACTTAATGGTTGTTTTGTACTGCATATATCGACCGATATGTGAGTTGTTTCAATAAAATTAAAAAAGCGTTTCTTTCTTATAACGGTGCATATTTTTTCTTAAAGTAAATAAAATCGGATGAAAACTCAGCCATATAACTAACGGGCCTTATGTACCTGGAGGTACTTCCCTAGCTGTAACGCTTGCCAGCTGCAAAAGTATGAAATATTCGGTTGTAACCGAACTTAACCCTTCCATACATGTTATTTAACATTTTAAATACATGTTTATTTCCATAAAATTCTGGTATTTAGAATTGTAGCTATTAAGTTTTACCAGCTGATCACAAATGACACGGGCTTTTTGGTCAGCCAAATTCAAATATTTTAATACAAATTCATTTGGTGACCTCTACTCGACGTCGTTTTCCACATATTCAGATGTTTTGGTAGATGTTTACCAGTGTCAACTTCATACCCAAAATATTAACCAAAACATTAACCAGAACATTAACAAAAGCATTAACCAAAAAAAAAGCTGAGTCAATTCATAAGAAATGTTGACATACTCTGCTATCTCTTGGATGTCCAAAACAACATTTTCTGTATCTGTAACATTTTCGATATTATCGTCCTTAACAGAGGTGTTTGAACAACTCGCATGAGACAAGTTTTCGTTGACTTCAAGACCATCCCTGAATGTTTGATGTCGCACAAACACTTTTGTTCGTGACAAGGTAAACACTGCTGCGACATTTTCTACGATTGCGTGATTACATTAGAAACAGAAAATTTCAAGAAAACTCGTTGTTAATTTTATTTTCATCGCAAAAATCGCCGGTCCAACTGTTGAGGTCATTAACAAAGAGCTTTGGTAACTAACACTAATAGACTTATGGAGTTAAAACTTCACAGATTTTAGCTTCAATTAGATTAGGATTGTACCCTTATTATTATTTTAACAAAAAGAAAAACAAAACTTAGAAAAAATTTGTGGGGTTTGAGCTGTGACAATCTTCCATTAAACCCTCTTTATCATAATTATCATCATTATTATATGTTTATGTAGTGGCTGTATATTTTGATGATATCATCTCCTACTAAGATCACTAAGTTGAAGTTTGTGTTCTATATCTGCGTGCCTAAAATAACCAAAACTAAATCGATTATATGAAAATAAATAGATCTTTAGTCCGTGTGTGTAGTCAATTTTATATTTCTTGCAAAGTGTTAATACTTTTAAGGCACCCCTATTACCCACGATGTGGTTATGTATATTTGCCATATATTGCAACATTAACTTAAATTACCGTCGGGATTACTTGAACTCGTATTGCAGAAATGGTCATGTCGCCTATGTATTGATAGGTAGCAATGCTACACACACATTTAACTGCACACTTAATAACTGCCTCGCAATTATCAAACCGTTCCTAAAACAACTGTGTCATTATGTACAATATAGCTGCAAGACGTAATGGTAACTATGCAAATTACTAACGTTAGCAGCTGTCAGTTGTAAGAGGAAGTGTGATTTAACATTAGCTATTCCTTGCATGCCGACTCCACTTGTTTTCTTTCTGCTTACGACTGGAGCAAAGACAAAATGGAAGACTAATGAAATGAAGAAAATGTAGAAAATGCATTGGATTTTCAAAAGTCTACTTAAATATATTTGTGCTGGCAACTGTGTGTTTGCATAAACGTCCGTTTAGCTAGTGAATGCTTGTTAAGTAGGCCTAACAAGCAATTTACATGGTGGCGCTGAAAAGTATGCAACATTAAATAAAATTGCGGCAGGCGCAAGGCAGTAGACCGTAACGAGTGAAGATAATTTCGATTTTCCGCCAGCTAAAACGGATTTAGAGGTGAGAAAGCGTTTCGATAATAACACTGAAACCTTTCGGATTAGGCTCGTTAAGTGCGGTGGTGGCA